AAAAACGATAATATACAAGGTAACCGTGACACACAGTGACCCGGTGTGGCTAGCAATGAGAAATACATGCTCAGACCCTCCCTTCCCTTTGCTCCTGCCCCCCCACCTCCCCCTTCTTGGGCTGACTTGTGGGACAGCGAGAGGAATCCCCCGCCCCCAGAGAAAGCCCCGCAGGAAGCTCCATCTCAGGCCCTTCTGGACCTGCTTCTCAGGAATCACTCCAGCAGAATGCAAGGTCATTTCCAAGGAGCCTCAGATGTCTCGAATTAGCAACCTCACACCATCAGTTCTAGCCTGTTCACAGTTTTAGTTGGCTTTTCCTCAACAGTCTGTCAAAAAGGACAAACACTGTTAATGGAGAAAGATTGCAAAGCCGGTGGCCGCCTTACCGTATTTCCAGGCACCCCAACTTCAGAGCGGTGTCCTGGTCCACTTGGTCGGCTATCCCCAGCATGTAATCACTCTTCACCTGCAACACGAGGATGGGGTCAGCGCGGCTGAGACAGCTAGCCGCCCATGACCTGTTGGCTGAGTGCCTTCGGTACACGTTGCGTCAATCACTCGGCTAGGTGCCGGTGAAATCAAAATGAGTACTATAAAACCTTTACAGAAGAACAAGAATCCCACACCATCGTCACCCCTGTGAGCAAGTGCTGGTTAAGTGCAGGGGCTGTGCAGTAACAGACGCGTGATCTACGGATCCAGAGCACGTCAGAGTCAGAGGGGGGCTCAGCGAGTAACTGCTGCCCACTCTCAGCCAATGGGCCCCAGGGGCACTTTCTGAACCGCAGCTCCAGCTCCAGCACCTGTTCAGACCTCTGTGCACGCACCACACCCTTCAAAATCCATTCAAGTGTGCAACAAGGGGTGCTCTCTTCAAATGACCACCTGGAAGGGTTCATCTGCTTCAAGACCCAAGAGAGGCAGTTGACAGAGTCTGACGTGCCATCCGAAACAAGTGCAGGCTCCAAGACTGCAGTCAGGACTCAGCAGAACCCATCGGTGTGCGAGCATGTTCAAAGATGAATTAAAAACAGGCACTGCGTTCTAGGTAGGTTACAATGGAACTGAAAGGCAGACAAGGTAGGACAAGACACGTCTCTGTAATGTGGTAAAGAACCACTGCAGACTACCAACCCCATGTGGGATAGCATCCACACCTCATAGTAATTTGACTTACAGGCTAATTACTACCACTCAGAAACACCTTTCACAGGTGGGAAAAAGCCACCAAATGCTGTGTTTCATTCATCAGAATCACACTAGGTGCACGGACGAAAACAGAGATGCCGATGTCCAGTCTTATGGAACGTGGCCCGGCTAAGAGTGCTTTCCTGAAGCTTCCAGCTATGCGGGGACTTCAAACATTCAGGGGAGCCACCCTTGTCCCCACAACTTTCTGAAGCCCTCTTGTATCTGTGCATGTGTGTGCACAGTCGAGAAACTGAGGACAGCTCTCTAGGTCCAAGTGACTGCAGGAAAAGGTCAACTCAGAGGCCTACCTTCTTGAGACCCTCACATCACCAAAAAATGTCCCCCCTACAGTTGTCATATATCAAAATGTTTAGACTTACAAAAGCTTCCAGGCTGAGAAAATACAGATAAAACAACCGCCTGAATGAAAACAGGCAAAAGCCAGAAATTGGAATGACAATGGAAAGATGGACTGACAAGAACGGATGCCCTGGAGCCTCACATACCACCCCCTCCCCGCCCAGTTTAAAATCTGCAGCCCAGAGTGAAGTGTGGTTCAGACTCAGCATCTTCTTCAACATGCTACATCACCCCTGAGCGGAATCCACCTTCGATGACCCTTTGGCACGTAGTCCTCTGGACTTCTCGCTGTGGTTCGGGTGAGTGCTGACCTCAGCAGGCAGTCCACCCTATTTACCCTGTGGTACTGCCTGTGACCCTCCCCTCGACAGCCACTCCCCTTTCCATTCTGAACCTGCCTGTGATCAAAGGCCCCTCTGTCTGTTTTGAGGAGTACACCCCTCTGTCACTGCCCATCGTTTGCTGAAAGGTGAGCCCAGGGATGGGTTTAGCTGCAGGTTTGAAAGGTGTCTAAAGGTCACAGAGTCAGGGCTTCACCAGACATTTAGTATTTAAGAGTCAGTGAATGGATATACTCACTTTAAATCTGAGAATAATTATAGGGATAAAAAATGGTCTTATCTTCATTTAGAGAGACACAAGCTTCTTCAAAAGTCTAAGATTCCAACAATGCCAAAACTCAGTCTATAGAAATCCCGAACAATCAGTGCCCATTTAAAGTGTATCAACTTCTTAACTACATATAAACATGTCTTTCAAGTAATGGCCACTACCTTTCGCAAAAGGTTGCCAAGCAAACACCAACAACTTCACCCAAGGAAAATCAGAGGAGTGGAATAATAAATCCGTGATACGGCAAAGCAACGCTGACCCTGGGGGAAGGCACGCTTTCCTTGCTTTCTCGCGAGCTGTTTGTTTTCTCTCCAACCCGCGTGCCGACTCCTGCGGCACAGTGAACAGTGCCAACAAGATTCTAGTTTATTTTTACAGTGTGCTGATTAACATCTTTCGGAATCCCCTAAAGTGGGTCAGAAGCATTTAATGGGTCACCTGAGATGTATCACATTGGTGGTCACCTTCAGGACACCTTTCAGTCAAACGACTTACGTACAAAATAATCATCTCCCACCAGGATCCCAGCACCCAACCTGAATCCCTGAAGGGTCCCTGTCTGCATGACCCATGGCAGTCTCGGGTGTGGAGGGAGGGTTTGTTTTCCTTTCTCTTTCTCCTGGGAGGAGCTGGGAGGAGCAGGTAAGAGCGGTGGCAGGGGTCATGTAAGCTTCATTTTCAGATGTCTACCTTGACAGAGGGGCAAAATCATTAAAAACAGCCAGAGCCATTTATAGAGGTCTAGATAAAGACATGTACATATGCAAATATATTTATATGAGGATAGGGAAATAGAG